ATATATATATATATATATATATATATATATATATATTAAACTCCCTAAAATTAATTAACTATAAAGACTGATCAATACTGAACAATTTATACAGTTGTTATATTTACTGTAGTTGTTTTGTATTTTGTACACTTTCAAAGGTTTTTCTCGTTGATGAAACTGAAAACCATTTCTTTTCTTTTAGATACACTGTAAAGTACATATGACACATTCTTTTATGAGTGTAAAGTATTCATGACATATTTTCTTAACACATACTACTCATAAAAGTAAAATAAGAGACCACTGTTTACAAGTGCAGACTGATATTCCTTACACAAAGGAAATATACAATAATCATTACAGTGCTAACTCCTTCCAACAGCTGCACTTGGGCAAATGGAGACTGACACACTGTAAAAAAACAACACATTTAAAAATCAACTCAAATATCAACCATCAGCAAGATTAAGAATAATACTATTCCCTGAGATAACAGTGACTCTTAGCTGATCCAAGTAAATAACTACCAATGAAAATTCTAATGACCTAAGATTCCATATGAATACAGTAAAACCTCGATTAACCGACCACATATGGGGGGAAGGGACCGACGGATAATCCAAAAGTCAGTTAATAGTACATAAAGTCTACGGATATAAAACATACATTTTCAAAGTACCTTTCCCTAACCTACCTAATTTAAGTCCTTCTATTCATTTGCCATTCATATTTCAATAGAATTTGCTTTAAAACATTAACAACTTTAGTAAATAAATATGAACCAGCACAGAAACCGTGAATAAAAAATGGAAAAGTCAAAGAATAGCCTATATGTCATCACAAATATTGTGACCAAGTCCCAGGTTGCTGATCTGACTTTCTGCCTCATTTACACACAATTGCAGGGTCTCAATTGTTTCTCTTACTATTGACAACACAACGTACATACAGGTACATTGTTTCTCACTTTTTTTTTTAATTTTTGCATTTTTTTATGGTTCTTTATTATTATTATTATTATCATTATCATTATCATTATTAATATTATTCCATTATCGCCCCCCAGGCCCCGATGTGGGTCAGTGATCTGTGCCCGGGTGGATTAATCCCCGGAAAAAAAAAAATTAGGGGTTCGGGATTGACGGTTAATCCGAAAGTTTGTTAATCGAGGTTTTACTGTAATTCACAATCCTTTGAAAATACACCTGTGGAGGATACAGTACAGTCTGTCCTTTGATACTTAAGTACACCTACTATTACACAGCCATTCACCTATTTTTCAACCTTCAACTACAGTCTCTCCCCGACTTACGACGGGATTCCTTCCCGACGACCAGGTCGTAAGTCGAAAAGGCGAAAATAATGCATAGAAATTCTAAAATGGGTGTCTCTTTTTCTTCTCAGCACCACGAGAACTCTCACTTTTATGCTTGCCAGCCATTTTAAAGGGAATTACAAACGAAAATATGTCAGTACACAGCGCGATCACTAACGTCGGTACTAGAAAATACATAATTTGAAAAATATTTTATACGACCACGGCCGCCCGTCGTATGTCCGGGTTGTCGTAAGTAGAGGAGTACCTGTATCTGACTAGTCCAATAAACCATTTTTAAATGAAAGCCTTATTTACATAAAATATGTAAATTTGAAGTTATCATCTAAGTGCTCATGCAACAAAATCATGCACTTAGGATGGGTGCGAGCAAATACCCGGTACTTGGTAACTGGTTAGTTATGTAGCTGGCTACTAGATGGCACAAGTAGGCAGCCTTCAGCTCTTGACTGTCTTATGCTTAACCTGACCTGGGTCACTGCAGAATTTTGTGTAGTTTGTGATATATCCCTTCACAATGACAAGTGATAATTTGTTGCTACAGTCTCACAAATGACCATAACAGAAGTGCACCAGACAGTCTTTGTAGCTGAATAGTAGATATTTTCATTATCTGGTATCTGGCTGGATATCTGGATAGTAATTAAAAGTTTCAACTGAATAAATATAAAAATTTAAATAAGGAGACTATAAATGAAAATGAGTAATGCAAGGACTCACTCAGGACTGAGTTGGACTCTGGTTGTTTAAATTTTCTCTCAAAGGTTATAACATAATACTATTGTTTAAGAACTTTTAGGGCTTCTAAGTGAAAAATAAGTCACTACACACTTACAGGTGTTGAAGCAAGTAGCAGTGACACTACTGTCTTCATCAGCCTACATTTGAAGATAGCTAAACAACCAAAAACATTTTTTGATTCTTTATGCAAAAAACATTTGTCTTTGGTAGAGTTAACTATTTTCCAATTTGGAAAATACAAAATGTAGGATTCATATAAAGAATAAAGTACAGGTGTATATACAATGCAGTACTGTATAATGATTATAATAGGAGTGGAAGAAGACTTTTATAGTCTTAAGGTAAGTTACAGAGGGACCGAGAGTGAGCCAAGTCAAACAGGTAACACGTGGAACATAACTTTTAAAAATGTTGATGGATGAGGCAATGTATTGTATTTCTTGTGAACTAGGATGCTTCATAGACAAAAATATAAATATGAAGGGAGGAATGGCATGTAAGTGCAGGTGTAGGCAGGCAGTTTAAATATTTATAGAGAAATCAACACAAACTATAATGTCCGGCCATATTTTTTATATACCCGTACTGTAATACTGTCTGGTACAGTACCTGGCTGGGAAGCAAAATTCACAATTTGACGCATCCTGTGGCCAGAATATGAGGAAATGTGTAATGTTTAATACTGAACAGAAAAATTAAATTACAAAAAGAATGGAAAGTTGTGTCCCTAAGGCTCAGACTTGATGTGAGTAAAATCTAGGAAAACAACTGCAGTAAATACTTTTAACATGAAGGCAATCTTTCATAAATTTTGTGCTGCTGTAGAATTTTTCAAGACATAGGTGTATATAAAGCACCAAGAAATTCAACAATTCAGCATGTGTAGTTAGGGTTTTTTTTTTTTTTTTTTTTTTAAGGAAGGAGGGGTTAAGTTTGCTCAATATGTGGGGTAATGGATGTGGGGAGGCAGTACCAAATTGATAACTATTTCATATGAGATCATAAGTCACTAAAAATGTCTTTCTTATACTTGACATTGCATATTTGTTTATAAAAAAAAATACTGTACTGCAATGGGTAATACAGTGAACCCTCGAAGATCCGGACTAAAAGGGGGGACCATCTGTCCGGAAAAGCCGATTGTCTGGATTTTCCGGCTATTAATAAATGGTATAAGAAACACCAAAAATACAGTACAGGAGGCCCCCCTGTTGTGTGTGTGTGTGTGTCTACACATACACACAAAACATACAAACAATAATGGGAAAATACTCACAAATAATCAGAAACAAATTTATTAAAATGTGAGTCTACTGTCAAATTTGTGCTCTTTTACTTTATTAATAGAGAACAAATTTGAGGGTATACTGTCACATTTTTAATAAATTTGTTTCTGATTATTTGTGAGGGGATTTTCGAATTATTATTTATTTGTAAGTGTTTTGTGTGCGTGTCTACACACACACACACACATATTTACAATACAGGTAAAGGAAATTCCTTGAGCAGAAATGAAGCGTACCTATACGAGTGGAGCACAGAAGAGGAAAAGAGCTGCAGAGGAAGAGAAAATTAGCAAACTTCCAAAGTTATCAGCTTGGTTCACCCTTGGTGCAACAGCTACTGCTCCTCTGGACACAGCATCAACACCTACGTCCACTTCTGCAAGCGCTTCTACATCCAATCTTTCAGTTCCAGACACACCATTATCTACTGCTGCTGCTGGGAAGGTTCCGCAAGAAGAAATACACGAATCCGTAACGGCAAAGGAGAATGTGATTCACCTTCTGACAGATCCAGGACTAGGGAACACTAAGCATGCTAGTACAGTGGATTACCGGATTTGCAATGGGCCGGCATCATGTCACAATGATGATTGTGACCTTTCAAACTCCCGTTGAGTGTATGATGGAAGAGAAAGAACGCAGACAAGGTATTTTTCAAAAACAGTATTCAAATGTGAACTGCAGAATGGCGAGTCTATAAAATGCGGATGGCTGCTCCATTCACCATCTCAAGGTTGTTTGTACTGCTTTGCATGTCGCCTATTGTCCAAGAAAGAATCCCCCTTTGCTACATCAGGATTCAATGATTGGAAACACAGCAATCTTATTGTAGAACACGAAAATGGAGAAGAACACCACAGGTGCATGATGGCATATTCAATTTGGCAGAAAGAAACCGAGTGTGTGGATTCTGCATTGCTCAAACATCATCGTTCAAAGCAGGAGTACGACACGTGTGGTTTCTGTCATCCGCTTTCTTGCCTCCAGAGGTTTGGTATTTCGTGAGAATCAAACTGTTGGGTCGACAAAAAAACGGAAACTTTCTAGGTATTCTAGAACTGTTGAGTGAATTTGACCCTTTTTTGGAAGAGCATCTCAAAGTGTAAGGAAATGCTGGAAAGGGGAACCCATCGTATTTATCGGCAAACATTTGTGAAGAATTTATTGAATTAATGGGACAACGTGTACTTTGTGCTATTCTGGAAGAAATAAAAAAGTCAAAGTACTATTCAATATGTGTTGATTCCACTCCGGACATCTCGCACATTGATCAACTGACATTTACTGTCCGGTACATTCGTGGATATGAGCCTGTGGAGCGTTTTCTCAAGTTCATCCCCATCTTTTTTCATGGAGCGAAGAATCTAGCAGACATTGTTGTAGATTTCCTGAACGAGAACAACATACCGTTATCAAACTGCCTAGGTCAGTCTTATGACTGCCTCAAATATGTCTGGACGCTACACTGGATTGCAAGCACGGATCCGTGAACTGAATGAACTCACCATCTACTGTATGTCCCTTGTGCTGGACACAGTCTGAACTTGGTGGGAGTAAAAGCGGCATAGTGTGGTCCACAGATTGTCTCCGTCTTTGACTTTGTTCAGCGTTTGTATTCCTTTTTCTCGGCCTCCACACATTGTTGGAATGTTCTGATGTCATCTTTGGGAAAGGATCATGTTGTGGTCAAGCGTCTGTCTGATACAAGATGGTCGGCACATTTTGATGCTGTCACTGCTCTGCATGGAGGTTTCGAGAAAATTCAAGATGCACTGAATGCTCTATCAGCTGACACTGACCAGGAAGTGAACACAAGGCATGATGCAGAAAGATTGAGCAAGAAAATGGAGAAGCTGGAGACTATCTTTCAGACAATTCTTTGGAATGACAGTCTCGAAAGAGTGAACAAAACAAGTAAGGCTCTGCAATCAAAAGATGTGGACATACTTGTAGCTGTGAATCATCTCAAGTCTCTGAAAACGTATCTTCAGGAAATTAGAGACAAATTCAGTGAATATGAACTGAAGGCCAAGAGTAGGTGTCTAGATTCAGATTATAGCGATGCAAACAAGAGTGAACGAAAGCAAAGTGTACTTCTTACTAGATATGATGGATCAGCGGAAAAGATACTTCTGCACAAAAGTGAAAAATTTAAAGTGGAAACATTCCTCCCTATTCTGGACTCTCTGAACTCTGACCTGACAAAACGTGCAGAAGCCTACCAATGGATTGGAAATCTGTTTTCCTTCTTTGGTCAATTGAAAACAATTGATTCTGATGAGCTAAACAAAAAGTGTGAAAAATTGGCCAATGTGTACCACAAAGACCTTGATTATGGTGAACTTCTAAATGAATGCAAGCAGCTCAAGCACTACATGGACCACGATGAAGAATGTGAGACTCCCCCTGCAGTGTACAGTAAATTCATTTCAGATAACTTGATATCTGTGTTTCTCAATGTTGAAATCGCACTCAGAGTGTTCATGTGCATGATGGTGACCAACTGTAGGGGGGGGGAACGCTCATTTTTCAAGATTGAAACTAACAAGAATCAGCTTCGCAGCACAATGGGACAGCAGCGTTTGAACTAGCTTTCACTCATGTGCATGGAAAATGACATCCTGAAGAACGTTGACTTTCAACCAATTATAAAACAATCCTCTGCAAATTTTTTTTCGCAACTAATTATATGTTTAAATGTTTGTATTCAACGTTTGTGTTGATTAATTCTTGCTTTACCAATTAATTATATGTTTAAAACGTTTGTGTTATTCAATGTACCAATTAATTATATGTTTAATTTTACTGAACGTTTTATTTTCATTTGAGTGGGTGGGTGGGTGGGTAGGGGCCCCAGGACATTGCCTTGCCCAGGGCCTACAATGCTGTTAAGACGGCCCTGCTTATACCTGTACCTTTGAACTGTTCTCAGCTCAGTTCACACACTACTTCCCACAGATGCAGACAGAAAATTTCAATGATACTGTACATTTCCTTAGTTGCTTACCGAGTCTTTTGATTTTGTTCAGTTTCCTTTCAAGACAGATGTAAAACACTGAGGTTCTTTTGTGCAGGAAATGGCAGAATTACAGGCTGACAACACGGAACGGGTGAATTTTGACATTTATGATGACATATCAATGAGACATTCAGCTGTTAAAATTAAAGCTATCAAGGTTCTGATACAATTTGAAAGCATCTATGTCTGTGAGGCAGCTTTCTCATCAATTGTGTTGATACAAAATTATTACCATAACCGGATATCAAACTTCAACTTAGAACATCATATGCTATGTTGCTTATCTCATATACCCCCAGGAATAGAAAATTAATCAAATGACAATGCGCACATACAAAATTGTATGTTATGTTACTCAACTATGTAATTACTGTATACCCACAGGTATAAAACATTAAATGATAATATAAACATGTCACATATTAAACATGACAGAGTTGTAACCTGTTTCTGTCAGTGTTTACATTTAGACTTCTCAATTATGTAATACATTTTCCTTATTTGTTTTTATAGTTAAATATGTATAAAAATATGACCATGTTTATTCTAACACACACACATACATAATGACTTGGGGTCGTACTGGATAGGCGACAGCCTAGATGGGGTCGCACTGGCAAATGCTTGGGAAGCCCTGTATACTAAATACAGGTAATTCAATATAAAAACAAATAAAAAACCATTATGCTATACGTACTAATGTATGTATCACGATGGGTAGAAGCAAGGCATATGTAAACAAGCCACTGATTGATGATTACACTAACACTGCAATATACATTAAATGGAAGTGTTTTGGAACATCGTAACTGAGACCGAGACCTTAAAACAGACATTTCACCATTATATCGTCGTAATTACGGAATTTCAGTTGTTCACGACATGTCTGATTTATGAAGTGACTTAGCATATAGTACTTGATATTAGAGTGAACAGCTACAACAAATACAATATATTGGTCTACATGGGATCTACCATGTTATTGATATGTAAATTGCATTGGTTTAACACCCCAAAAAGTTCCAAATCAAGGGACCACATGACTAATGATCCTTTTTTGGGGGACTGTACCTATAATTCTCTAATGTTGGAATGTCAAAGTTATTTCATTAAACATTTCTAAGTTCAGAATATATTTGGTCAGGGAAGCACAGGGAAGTACAGTACAGTACTCTTAAAGGGAAATTATTTTTGCTTAGCATGTTTTCATTTAAGACATAATTTTCAAGAATGCATTAATTATTTTGACTGAGGAAGGCCTGTTTGAAGGCACCAGATCTATCCAAGATCACAGTTTGAATAAAGTACAGTATCTATGGACAATATACAGAATATTATTATTTTTTAATAAAATATCTATGAACAATATCTCATTTTATACAAATCAATGTGCCATCTGGAAATAATATTTCTTGTAATAAATATTCTAAAATTAATTTATTGTTTATATGTTACTTATATTATTATATGGTTCTATTGGTCCTATTGGTTGTTACTACAGTATGCAAATACATTTGTCCCTCAATTTGCATTGGCTTTGTTTGGACAGTATTGCAAGAATTTACATTTTGATATACAAGGGGCCCCCCAAGTTTCCGGATTTTTATTTCGCAGATGAAACCCTGGATGTACCCAAGAATGTCTATGGGTAGTTTTAAAGTTGCCGACATTTTTGCGGCTGGGACAGGGAGCCATTTGTTCTAGAGACAGTAATTTCCTTTACCTGTATTGTAAATATGTGTGTGTGTGTTTACACACACACACACACACATATATACAATACAGGTAAAGGAAATAATTGTCCTAAGGGCAAACACATAAAGGGAATACTGTATACTGGTACATTTCTTTTTTACACAAGTGAAAATGTCCCCCCGTCCGCAAATGTTCTTCGCGGATTTGGCGATTCACAGCCATTTTGAAAACTTAACCCCCGCGCGAATTTGGGGGGCCCCCCTGTACTGTACTGTGTTTCTTTTACCATGAATTTACAACTGCATGAAATGATTTATAATGATGCAAGTTCAATGGCTACAGTCCATGTTTTGTGTGGCACAAAACTCACAATGGATGTCAAGGTAAGCACTAAGAGGGAGCACAGCATTATAGGGTAGGGCACTAATGTATGATTTACAAAACCTCAACTGGTCTTTCGCTCACCCAATCAATCACTTGAGAACCTTTTTATGTGTGTTCTACTTATTCCATTTGTATATGGGCTCCACCTATATGTCTTGGTAGTACACATCTAAAATAAGTTGCCTTTAGCAAAAAAAGCAAGATAGTTTTACACTGGAATTCAATTGGTAAATAATTCACTCACAAGGAAGTCTGCTGCTTTACTTGGACACACCTACAAACTCAACGAGTCCTTGTAGTGGTGGTGCTCATGTGTTTGTAACTGTTTTTGTGCTGTGTGGGGTGGCAACTGGGTGGTTAGAGGGGCATCTGACACGGCTCCCACCTCCAAGAGTGGTTATACCCATGATGGTTTACATAGGTTCTACCCTCCTTCCTTACTGGTGACCACACACAACTGATTTTATGGTGTGCACTGTTTCATTATACCTAACACAAACAAGTTTTGTCAGTGTATTATAAGTATTTGTGGCATATGAGGTCAAGGAGGGCAACTGGTGCATAATCCCTCCTTTAAATAGATCAAACTGGTCTAATTTTTTATGTAATGTTCTAGAACTGTATAATCTGTGCAAAGTGAGGGAACAGTGTATTTTGGAATGTGTTTATTAAGTGAATGGTCCCATAGAACTGAGTCTTGTTTATAATGAGAACAGGTTTACTTACATGGCAGTGTTTTCTTAAAGGCAAAAAACAGAAAAGAAAGAAAAAAATAAATAAAAGGAAAGTGCACAGCAGAAAAAATCTTCAGTCTACCACCATCTGAGTTGAAGTTGTTCATCCCCTCAGCCCATCATCAGCTCTTATCACCACTTGGCTCTTTATGCTGAAAAGCAAACATTCTCCATATTAGTATTCTGTGAGGCTGATATACAAGTAAATATGTATCAAAACATTAAGTGAGTTAGGCATGCCACAAGACTAAATTTAGTATAACAATTAGTGATGTAAATGTTTTTTCCAGCGGAATAAAGTGCCCCCCCCCCGAAAAAAAAAACTAAAGACCATTTTTTCTTTCTTTTTTTCAGAATAGGATTGACAAGTTCTGTACCTGTCATTCTCTCTCTGTCTCTCAAAATTAAGTACTGTACGTAATTACTTATATACAGTAGACCCTTGCCATTCGCGGATTTGCGATTCCCGATTTTGATTATTCGCAGTAAGCAGATGGTGGCTAGCTTGCAAGCCTTTTTCCGCAGCACAATGAGTTACCCCACGCAGCATCTCATGTTGTACTCTCAAAACTTCAGTGTTTATGTGTGAAATGGCCCCTAAAAGACTGCCTAGTGTCAGTGCTAGTGGAGTGAAATGTAAAAGGCAGAAGTTAGTGGTGACCCTGACAAAGAAAGTTGAATTATTAGATAAGTTAAAAGTGGGAATGAGTGCTGCCCTGGCTGGTCAGTTGTTTGGTATATAGGTATACAGTAGTGCACTAAGGGAGTACAAGTTGCTATTTGCAGTTTTACCTATTCACACCATTCCTTGGAACCTATCCCCCACAAATAACAAGGGTTTACTGTATTGGATTACATTCTTCTTCTCCTGAAATTGTTTTTTCTTAAATAATAATGATAGATTCTTTTATACATAAAGTATATTTTGAAACTATCAAAATACTTTAATGAAGAGTATAGTAAATATATATGAAAATATTGCCAATGATTGTACAACTCCCTTGCAAAGTTTCCAGTTTATTATTTTTGTCAATAGTTATTGTAAATGAATGAAAATAACTGTGTAAATTATCTAAACACACTATAATGATATCTTGTATTGGAAGCAACTCAAAATGTAAATTTACGAGAGGCTACAAAAATACCAGAAAATTTCCAGAAAATTTTTTTTTCTGCCCAACACAAAAAAAAACAAGTTTTTTATATCTCTAATAACAATATGCATATGATGTATGCCAATGCATTGAATAAAAAGGGAAGAATTGTAAGAGTTTTAAGTGTCATCTGAGTTCTCAAAACTAATAAAAAGAATAAACATTTCAGAAAAAAGACCAAGAAAATAGTCAGGCTATATAATTTTTTTTTAGCCTCGTGTGTTACATGCTTGAGCTTGAATTTTAGGATCAATGTTAGAATTACAGTAATAATTTTAATATAACCCATATGTTCTTGGAGGATTTCACAAATGTCCACTGCTTTTCAAATTATGTGATACTATACACTGTTTGCTGGGATCTTCCTGAATAAAATACTAGAAATGTACTGTACAGTGTACGGGTATTTCCAAAATGGTGAGTTTTGAATTTGTGAGATTTCACTGTTTAGTGCAGGTTGGATTACGAAATGGGTGCATTTTGATTTTTTGATGTCCAGTTCTCAGTTCCTTGCAAGATGGCCAGAATACAATTTTTTTTTAAAGAAAACCTTTGTACAAGCAACAACAAAATATATTAAAATATATATGTACAAGATTATCATGTTTGGCCCCCACTTTACCACAGACCAAAACTATGATACAGTCTGGTTCAAGATTCTTCAAACACTGCTGGAGACAGCTGGCAACTCAAGGCTGTTTGCTTACTATAGTATGTACTATAATATAATACAAAACAACAAAGCCCAACCAGTAAATTAAGCAGAAGGGAAATAAGTAACCAATCACCGATCACTTTTACATTTATTCATAATTTTTACGACGTACTATAGTAAACAAATGGCCTTGAGTTGCCAGCTGTCTCCAGCAGTGTTTGAAGAATCTTGAATGAGACTGTACATTGTGGTAAAGAATGGATGTACTTTGTACTACTGCACTGTCCCGGTACATTGGGAATTGTAAACCTGCAAGGTCTTTGTACAGTCAGAAGCAGTACAGTAGAACGTCGATTTAAAGCGATTCAATTTAAGATTATTGATTTAAAGCGACACCCACAATTATAGACAATCTTTTAATTTAAAGCGAATCTTTCCTATTTTGCGCGAGTCAATCTGGCGCATCATACTTATAATTTTGCGCCTAACGTTTCTCTTGGCACGCTACACTGTCCTAAGGGCAAAGCTGTACTGTACATGTACTAAATGATTACTAAAATTTTTGTCTAATGCAAACTAAAGCTTGTTTATATTCAAATTAATTACTATCTTATAAGAATTCCAGCAATGTAAATTATATTCTCCCCGGTCACTTCTGTGACAGTGTATAAGCAAAAACATAAACTCAAGCTAAAGGAAATAAATAAACAAATAAATACTTCACTAGACCTTCGGCCCCAACTGTCAAACATGTCACTGTCACTCCCCTCCCCCCATCCCCCCCATCTTCCCAGCCAGGGTTTGGTGTTTTAGACTTAAAAGTTTTTATCTTATATAATATCCCAGATTAAAGTTAGGAAAATATAATTTGCATTGCTGGAATCCTTGCAAGACAGTGAATAATTTGAATATAAACATCATATATTTTGCACAGGAGATAAAAAATTTTGCTCTCTGTAATAAAATTCTTAAATTAGAACTAAAATTTGTATGTCTAATGCGAGCTATAGCATGTTTATATTCAAATTAATCACTATCTTATAAGAATTCCAGCAATGTTAATTATATTCTCCCATGTCAGTTCAGTGACATTTTCTAAGAGAAAACTTAAAGTCACTCTTAAGGACAGATAAATAAATAAGAACTAGACCTTGGCATCAACTGTCAAACATATCACCTCACCTCCCTCCCTCCCCCTATCTTCCCAGCCAGTAAACAGACCATTTGGCATCCCTTAATTTTAGCTGTGTTGATTTATGAGTATTTGTTTTAACATAATACTACAAAAAACAATGTTTTGTTTATTCTAGGAGATGGACTGAGGTGCATCTGGGTAGACTCTCAGTCTTTTTAGTATTTTGTGTTTCTCTCAAGTACCAATCTAAATTATTCCATTGAAACAACACTTCGATTAAGTGCGAATTCGATTTAAAGCAACCTCTCTTGGAACCTATCTCGTGTTATATCAAGCTCTACTGTAATTGCTACCTCCCTAGTAGCCAGAGCCACGGCTAGTGAAAGCCTGGCAATCGAGCAAACCCTTCTCCTTCCCCTGTCTAAATGTTGCTGGGTAGTTTTGGAACTATCGTGGCTGGTGATGTTGCAGTGTTAATATTGGCTTTCACTGGCTGTGGCTCTGGCTAGTAGGGGGTAACAAATAATGCTTCTGACTGTACACTGCATACCTGCATTGTCCATATACGGTACATGCTAAACCAATTGTAAACTTGCATGACAATTTTACGGAATATCTATCTATCTACCAAACAGCACTGGGCTTCAGAATAGCTATAGAAATGACTATCAAGACCAATAGGTAGACTCAAAGCTAGCCATTGGTCTCCTTCCCCCCTCAGGGCCACCTTTAATTGTGATGGCTATTAGGTAGGTTAGGTTAGGTTATGATAAGACTTGATATCAGCTTATTTGCAAATTATTAGTCCATGCAGCAGCAATAGTTTTACTAATGTGAGTAACCCAATTTCAATCTTACTTGCCACTCTACATAAACTTCAACTGTGGCTTAAGTTCCAGAGAGAGAAAATAAGTAGTCTGCACATTGCTGAATTGTGGGAAATTGCAGAATGTTACTACAGTGCATTTTTCCTCAGCTGAGAAAAGATGCCCCGCCCCCTCCCCAAGAGTTACAGCTGATTGGCTGTTGCAAATCTGTCCGATTTTGTCCTGAAGTAATGATGTCTTTCTAAATGAGTTTATTCATAATCGTTGGGATGACTGTATCTATATTACTAAGAAAGTACACTTTCAATTTCCTTAAAACTGTTTTCTTATTCTTGAGGGAACAACTGTGGGATTTATGATTTTTGCCTACTTTATGAGTACAGTATTACATTTGCACTGCTCAATATGTTCCTCAGTTACATGATAAGAGATGCTCACATTCATGATAAGTTTCTGAAGAAGGTCCCAAAACATTAGGTTGAGGAAGCTGTGAGGTCCAATCCTGAAGTATATCGCAGACCATCCCTTGTAAAATCCCCAGATACCTTCTGCTCTGAAGGTCTTCACTACACAGTCTGTTATGCTTTTATACAACAATCCACGTCCTTGTTTATCCAGTCCTGGAAAATATAATCATATGATGTGGATTATGTATACAGTATTCTGCAAAACTCTGAAGATGTAATTACTGTATCTGGGATTTCATCTACAATTATGACTGAATTCATCAATTTAATGAAGAAAGATTAATATATATACTATAGTCTCCTAACTTTTATCTTCATAAAAATTTTTGTTTTTCAATTTGTCAGCAAAGCAACACACTTGTACGGTACAACCAAAATGACAGAGAACTTATATTAAACTATTGTGTGTAAGAAACAAAAGGGACCAAATAATTACCCTGGTTGTAAATTCTTGTAGCAATAACATCAAAGGGACTCATACAACTTGATATAACCAGGCCACTCGCCATAGCTCCAAAAAAGGTGCTCTGCCAACTGTCTCGTGAGTACAACTGTAAACATTTAATACATTGTATTTCTAAACAAATGGAGGTAATTTTATGTCATGAATAAATGGTATTCATACAAAACTAAATACTGCATAATGAATCATCAGTAATAGATCATACAATATTCTTAAAAAATTGAAGATAATAATTTTCCTCTTTTTCATTCATTCATTGTAAGGTAATTGAAACTAACTGACTGAACAAACTAACACTATGGAACTGAAATGAGAGCAGGCTAAGGCTAAAAAATTACAATGGTGATTATAACAGGATGAGGGAAGAAGCAAGGAACATTGGCTGGCCTGACTTAATGAGTAAGGATAGAGATACTGTACTTCCTTGAAAATAAGAGGGGGTTAAACTAAACCACAGGTCATTACAGTATAAAAAACCAACAACAATTATACAGTACATTTGTCAACTGAAGTGATCTCACGGTTTTTAGCATGAATCGTTCAAACAGCAGTTCAGTATCTGGCAAATTGGCGAGAGCTGAGAGAGTGACTGACCAGTGTGCTGGACGCTGTTGTAACAGGGGCAGATCCAGGGATATCAAAAGGGGGTGGTCTAAGAAGTTGTGGGTTTGGGAACTTGGCGAGCACCGTGAGCCCACCCAATATCATAGACATTTTGAGGCCATTTTGAAGCCACTTGCACTTGATATCAGGAGATATTCTGAGGTCAATAGTAATTACTTTTTACTATTGTGTCGACTCTCCCCTCCTCACTCTACCATCATAACAACCACTTGCTCCAACTTGACACCAGGAGAAGAAACTGCTTCACAAAACTACTCGACCCCAGCGAGCACCGATCAGAACCAGTTTCCTATCCGACTATGAGACCGAGGTATCGAGGCAAGTGTGTCTGCCTGGTAACCTCGGCCTACGTGTTTCTCTTCTCCCAGGGTGGGGATGAAGAATTGTATTCTGGATTACTGCTGGTGGTGTTGTGATGGTAGTGGACTACGGAGATAATCCCTGGTTCCTTGTGGTTGGCCATCGCAACCTAGATATACTACCTGAGCTGCCATTTTTATGAGGTTTTTGTGTTGTTGTATTAGTATGTGTATTTAATGTTTAAAGTAAGAATAATCAGGTACTATTCTGGTGTGTTTTGATAATTGCATATTTGTGTTTTACTTGTGTTGTGTAATGTACCAAATTAACTACAGTTGTACCCCGCTTTACGCGGTTTCACTTAACGCGATTTCTCATATACGCGGTGCCTCGCCAGAACCGAACTTTCAGTTAACGCGGTTCATCTACCCATATACGCGCAGTGTCCGGCTCGAGACGCTATTTTTAGATTCGCACCACCCGCTGCTCCCGCCTGCCTCGCCTCTCCCTCCTCCTCCCTCCCTCCCTCCCTCCGCCTGGGCAAGCCGCACTGTAAGGTTGCGCAGTGTGTCTTCTACTAACGTAAGTGTTACACCTAACTTTTAGTTTTCCTAACCTAACCTTTATTTTTCCTAACTTAACCTTTATTTTTCCTAACCTAACCTCTTCTATATTACTTGTTTGTTCATACCATCATAAAGTTAAGATAAAATTTTTACTACAACATAGTTGTGTGTCATCAAAAAGTGGAGTTTGGGGGTCGGGCCAGTCTCTATTGGAATTAATCCCATATGTTCTGTTGTTCACTTAACGCGGTTTTCACTTAACGCAGTACCCTGTGGGTTCAATTGACCACGTAAAGCGGGGTACAACTGTATATTGATCAGTACTTAATAATATAAATGTTATTAAATGACTCAGTTTATTTACTAATCTAATTATCCCTTTCATCACTTAAATTTGTCTGTCACGATAACAGTGATTCTTGTGTGAGTGCTTGTTACTTGCTGTATCCACATATTTCAACCCCTAGATTCAATCATTATTTTAACTTGTCAACTTTGCCTTTCCTTAATGTTGTGGGCAGCAAGGAAGGATGTCACACTATTCAAAAACGTCTGATTACAATACTGCATTGAAGAAAAAGTATAGGAATTTTCTGATGAAAAGGGGGGACCAGACCCCCAGAACCCCCCGTGAATCCGACATTTGTAGTAATATGGTATATTAACGAACTCCTGAGCCAAATTTCTCGCTTCCTAACTTTTTTCTGGCATTCCATCAGGTAGTAAAATTTAATGAGCAATATCCCAATCCCACACTTGAAAGACGAAGACGATGCACGCAGAAAAAAAAGAAAAAAAAAAAAAAGAAAGGGACAGCCAGTCCGAAATAATACAGCAACACAAGTACAGTATACAATATTCTGTATATGACTTATTTCCTTGTTTAGAAGTTGTTTTATTTTTAGAACAATATGAAAGGCATTTGTTACTAAAATAATTATTAGTTGAATAAGGTTTCATAGAAGCTAGCAATTCAACGAAGTTTTACTTTTTTCACCCATAATGAATGATTGTTCAACGGGGATCTTTATTGTTTTATATTTTATTCTTGGGTGCTAAATTATACATTATCTTCAGAGTATAAATGACAATTAATTTCCTTATAATAATTACTTGGGAAAGGGTATCAAGAAGCAATTATATACAGGTAGGCAAACAGTTTATCTAAAGCTCAAAATTTTGTTTTGTGAATGTATCCCACCTTAAGCCATCAAGGTGGTGAATATATGGCATAAACGTGGTGAGTATTTCTTATTCAATACAGTATTCATTTCAGCTTATCAATTAATGTAAACCTCATTTTGACATCTAATTATAACTCCACAAATTATTCCTGAATGTCCCTGAGTAATAATCTCATGTTATTTATTTTGTTTCAAAATACAGTACTACATGATTTGTTCTTACAACATTCTTATGAAAAACTGCTTTAGAATTTATTAATTAATTTATATTACTATTTCACAAAATTGTGTTTCAGCCCTGAAAAAATAAAATAGTGAAAATAAAGCTAGTCTGATAGTTGCCAGATACCATTGTCCGATTGAAGTTTCTGGAAATCGTGACATCATTCATTTGGGCGATTGTACAGTACATATCGAAGATCAAGCCCATTAGTTCCAGAATAACTGGGAGACTGTTATATACAAACTATGCAGCACTTGACAAAGTTAAGATGATACAGTATATCGGAGATTCTAGAGATGGGTTGCTACTAATGATGAGCAGGACAGAAAGACGTATGCTAGAATCAGAAACCAAGGTAAGTCAGAGTGCAGAAAGGGCAAAAGATACTTCCAGAGGCTAATCACAAATGAGGTCCATTCAAACCCCAATACTCTAAATGTTCCACAAAATTAAATTTAAGGACACTTGTGAGCATAACAGATCTGAGACTTGAAAATAGTAGTTACATGGACTCAGTCCAGGACAAGGCAGAGGCATTAAATAAATTCTTTTGAACAGCATTTACAAGAGAGGTTACAAACAAGCCATAGTACAGTTGTACCCCGATTTACGCGGTCAATTGAACCCACAGGGTACCGCGTTAAGTGAAATCCCCGTAAATGGAACAAGAGAACATATGGGATTAATTCCAATAGAGACTGGCCCGACCCCCAAACTCCACTTTTTGACGACACACAACTATGTTGTAGTAAAAATTTTATCTTAACTTTATGATGGTATGAACAAACAAGTAATATAGAAGAGGTTAGGTTAGGAAAAATAAAGGTTAAGTTAGGAAAAATAAAGGTTAGGTTAGGAAAACTAAAAGTTAGGTGTAACACTTACGTTAGTAGAAGACACACTGCGCAACCTTACAGTGCGGCTTGCCCAGGCGGAGGGAGGCGGGAGGGAGGGAGGGAGGAGGAGGGAGAGGCGAGGCAGGCGGGAGCAGCGGGTGGTGCGAATCTAAAAATAGCGTCTCGAGCCGGACACTCTGCATGTATATGGGTAGATGAACCGCGTTAAGTGAAAGTTCGGTTCTGGCGAGGCACCGCATATATGAGAAATCGCGTTAAGTGAAACCGCGTCAAGCGGGGTACAACTGTACCTGCTTTTGAGGAACAATAGTTTCATTCAGCACTAATGCATATTCAGTTCTCATAAGTGTATTAGAGCTAAATTATCTAAGCTCAAGGTTCGTAAGAGTCCTGGCTGATAGCGTACATCCCAGAGTATTAAGAGCTCTCAGAACCCCTTAAAATACTGTTCTGCATAAGTATGGTTGAGATGAATTACTTGTCCACTGATAATACACATACTGGGTATACCTCTCATTACTGTGCCCTGGATTCAAGTCCTGGCCCGGGATGAATGTGAGAAGGGCGTTATCCAGTGTGATCCTACCAAACCAAACATCGCAGTTTCTCTGGGTACTCTAGTTTCCTCCAGTATTAACACTGGATAATAAAGGCTGTGGGCAACAGAATGATTCTAAAAGTGATGGAAGAATAACTGAAGCATTTGTTTAATTACTTACATTACAATGCTAAAGGAATGGGCATGCTGCTTCCTTGGGAACATTCACACCATCATTCCCTTTATTGCATTGAAAATATGATTTTTTATGATTTATGCCTTTATTGCACCATATGTAAAAGAAAATGGAGTTAAAACAGTAGAATAGAAGTAAATAATGTATCACAATTAGTTTTATTAAGTGCTTAAATCAAATATTAAATGATAATGATGATGATTGGTATAACACTTCAGACATGATGATACCTGTATATTCTGATTTATATAACAAAAGTGACACAACAGTATAACATACCCCATAATGGTCCAGCCAGTCTTTACTCTTGGTGTAAGTAAACAACTGCGATGCAGAACCTACTCCAACTCGAGGCACTGACGTAGATGCCCCTCGCCACAAACCTCTAATACCATCTGCCTTTGCAATTCTAAACAAAGCAGGCAAGACACCTGTGAACAAATGAAAATAAAAAGTTATGTTATCAATATAAAGTACAGTAGCTACATAAATTTATTACAGTATTACCCCGCCTAACGCGGTTTCACTTAGAGCGTTTTATCATATACGCGGTGCCTCGCCAGAGCTGAACTTTCACTTAACACGGATTTTTTCATCATATACGCGGTGAGTGTCCGGCTCGAGACGCTATTTTTAGATTTGCCCCACCCTCCACCCTGCCTGACTGCCTGTTTTAGCTCAGAAAATTCATACAAATTACCCGGCCAGAATATAATTTACATTGCTGGAATTCTTATAATTTGGTGATCATTTTGAATATAAACATCATATATTTTGCATTAGACATACAAATTTTAGATAAAATGTTTACTCTTGAGTAAATATGTTATCTTCTGTGCAAAATATATGACATTTATATTCAAAATATTCCTGGTCTTACAAGGAATCCAGCAATGTCAATTATATTATCCTAACTTTAGTTTGAGGTATTATTTATTACAAAAAAGTTAAGTATTCTGGTTTTCCCACACATCTCCTTGGGACGGTTGGTGGGGGGTGGGGGGGAGGGAGGGAGGGACCGACCGACCATCTGTTACCCTGTGAAGAATATTTTTTTTTTTTTATTAACTGAAGATATTTGTTTTAGCTCATAAAAATCATACAAATTACCCGGTCAGAATATAATTTACATTGCTGGAATTCTTATAATTTGATGATCATTTTGAATATAAACATCATATATTTTGCATTAGACATACAAATTTTAGATAAAAAATGTTTTCTGAGTAACTATGTTATCTTTTGTGCAAAATATATGACATTTATATTCAAAATATTCCTGGTCTTACAAGGAATCCAGCAATGTCAATTATATTATCCTAACTTTAATCTGAGGTATTATTTAATACAAAATGTTAAAATTTATTATTTTCACCCAGTATTTCTCTTGGTGGGGGGTGGGGGGGAGGGTTGGGACTGACCTCGCGGTTGGAAGAGGGGGGGAGGCAAGGTGGGGTACTTTGATTGACAGATAGTGTCGTGAAGATTATTTTTTTTTTATTAACTGAAGATATTTGTTTAGCTCATAAAATTCATACAAATTACCCGGCCAGAATATTATTTACATTGCTGGAATTCTTATAATTTGGTGATCATTTTGAATATAAACATCATATATTTTGCATTAGACATACAAATTTTAGATAAAAAATTTTTCTGAGTAACTATGTTATCTTTTGTGCAAAATATATGACATTTATATTCAAAATATTCCTGGTCTTACAAGGAATCCAGCAATGTCAATTGTATAATCCTAACTTTAGTTTGAGGTATTATTAAAATTTAGTGGTTTTCCCCCAAAAATTTCTCAGAGAGGGAAGAGCTGGCAGTGTAGTGTGAGAGGGGGAGGGAGTCGAGTCCATTATTTGAATGGACATTAACTTGGCGACTGTATTTCTCTATTTCTCTTAAGTATTAATTGTGTGCATGTACCATCATAAAATTAAGATGTTATTTTTACTACAACATAGTTATGTGTCTTCAAAAAGTGGAGTTTGGGGGTCGGGCCGGTTTCTATTGGAATTAATCCCATATGTTCTGTTGTTCACTTAACGCGGATTTCACTTAACACGGGACCCTCTGGGTTCTATTGACCGCGTTAAGTGGGGTACAACTGTATAACATTACATGAAACATGATATAAAGGACAGACAGCTACATTATTCATTATTGTATGGAAAAACCAATGCAAGTTTGATTAAGTTTGGGATGTGTGAAATAACAATATTTATAAATTAAATTGGTAACGATGCAGTAATTACTTGCCTCTTACATATGGGCAGTGAATACTGTATGTATACTGTATGATATCACCTTGATAACAATATTTGGGTTAAATCAAAAGTATAGTGACTATATTTGGTCAGAAATAAAAGACAAAGGAAAGAGTAATTTTGTGATGTGAGACAACAATAATTCTTCTCAGAAAAAAAAATCTTGCATAGCTTGCCTTGATGTTTATGCTGGTGCCCAACAGCAATGGATTCTGCTGCTTGAGATTGCAAATGAGTTTTTACCTGTATAAAAGAGAGGGAAAAGGTGTACTGGTATGTAATAATAAAATCATTTCTCAGTTGTATGTATGAATAAAATAATTTCTGACTTGGTCCTTGGTCTGAGAATTTTCCTCCAGTACTCCTCCCTCATGTTTCTGCATTGTGGGGCCCCATTTTCAATGGCACAAAGTCCCTTCCTTAACATCCCTTTGATAACCTTTGATAAACTTATCACATTAGAGCAGTTGCAATTATGAATATTTGACCACAAAATTTGAAAAAAGAAAAAAAAGAGGCAGTAATAGAGGTACCTGTGAATTTAAGAACGTGAATTATCACAACTCCACTGTACAGTGTTATGTTCTTGAATAGTATCAGAACTCTTAGATGATTCACCCCCCCCCATTATAAAAATATTTTGGAGGTCAACATAATCTAGCAGAAACCAATAAAGTATTTACTAGGAACTTACCAAGTACAGAGGACTTCCGACAAATCCTCCAATCACACCCACACCAGCACCAGCAGCAACACAACCCAAGGTTGATACATTTCCGTCTGCACGAGTTATGACCCCGGAGTCAAGGATTCTCTTGTATAATCCAAATCTTATTCCATTCATAATCACCTGATACCCAAGAGCTGGCATCAGTCCTTTCTGAAGTCCAGACAGGCCCTCAGCCTGCAAGTTGACATTTATTTTTAAGATATAATAATGTATAATATTTTTCACTTACATCTTAACAATGTTTAATATCTGTTAAAAACACAATGAATAATGCGACTGAACACATGACCTCAATGTGAGATGTTGCATAATTATGGTCCCGATGAGAAGAGGTGTTGAACACACGTGAACACATGTGAACAGCTACTAAACAAAAGATGTCAATTGGAATGACAGCTGCTGAAAATATAATCTCAAAGTGAACATTTGTTGGAGATAAAACAAAATACAGTATGCACAGTTGTGCACAGAAATTTGTGGTCCACCCGAGGCGGAGGGTATGGAGTCCGTCCCACCCTTACTCGACTGTGTGTCCAGACGCCCCAGGGCCTAACACGCAAACTAGCACCAGCCATTGAAAAGAAGGTGGCTGGACAAGATATTAAAACCTAAAGTGTCAGACATACAGTATAACCTTTTAAACATTATGACTACTTTAGTTATATACTGTATTCTGGTTAATACCATTGATCAGCACACCAATTTGATCTATTTTCATTTTGTGAAGGAAGGTAAAATTAAATGCTCTTCCTATGTGATTTATTACAGTAAAACACTTCTCTGTAACTAAGAAACTTGTAAACTGGCCTTCGATGCAGGTCCAAGAGTGCAATATCACCTGTCATAAGAAAATGCTGGACATCCCTGAAAAATACTGACGGCAATGGGTTGTAGAGTTGTAGAAAAGACGGACGCCCTGGCATGAACACACACATACAGCCCCATGTGCAACCATGTGTATGGGTGGGTGGTTGAGTGTTGAGCTATGTTGACACAATCAGTTGCATGATTAATTTAAAAAAAATATTTTCCCATCAACACACACCTCCCCAAACAGTACAGTAATTCTGTTATGTTTACTCAAGTCCTTCCATAGAGTTAAAACTGCTATAAACCAATTAATACACTACATGGGCGTTACTTTGCATGTTGGGAGTCGTTTAGACAGTGACTTGCTGTCCAGTAAGGGAGGGTTGGGCAACTGTAATTTGCATGGCATCATTATTAACACTTGTGTCACACCTTGGGTCACTGTAAGTACTTGAGGGACACCTTGGGTCACTGTAAGTACTTGAGGGACACCTTGGGTCACTGTAAGTACTTGAGGGACACCTTGGGTCACTAAGTACTTGAGGGACACCTTGGGTCACTGTAAGTACTTGAGGGACACCTTGGGTCACTAAGTACTTGAGGGACACCTTGGGTCACTGTAAGTACTTGAGGGACACCTTGGGTCACTGTAAGTACTTGAGGGACACCTTGGGTCACTGTACTTGAGGGACACCTTGGGTCACTGTAAGTACTTGAGGGACACCTTGGGTCACTGTAAGTACTTGAGGAACACGTTGGGTCACTGTAAGTACTTGAGGGACACCTTGGGTCACTGTAAGTACTTGAGGGACACCTTGGGTCACTGTAAGTACTTGAGGGACACCTTGGGTCACTGTAAGTACTTGAGGGACACCTTGGGTCACTGTAAGTACTTGAGGGACACCTTGGGTCATTGTAAGTACTTGAGGGACACCTTGGGCCATTGTAAGTACTTGAGGGACACCTTGGGTCATTGTAAGTATTTGAGGGACACCTTGGGCCATTGTAAGTACTTGAGGGACACCTTGGGTCATTGTAAGTATTTGAGGGACACCTTGGGTCATTGTAAGTACTTGAGGGACACCTTGGGTCATTGTAAGTATTTGAGGGACACCTTGGGTCATTGTAAGTACTTGAGGGACACCTTGGGTCATTGGGTGAGGGACACCTTGGGTATTGTAATTGTAGCATTTGGGGACACCTTGGGTCATTGTAAGTTGTCTTGAGGGACACCTTGGTCATTGTAAGTACTTGAGGGGGTCATTGTAAGTATTTGAGGACCTTAGGTCTTGAGGGACACCTTGGGTCATTAAGTACTTGAGGGACACCTTGGGTCATTGTAAGTATTTGAGGGACACCTTGGGTCATTGTAAGTATTTGAGGGACACCTTGGGTCATTGTAAGTACTTGAGGGACACCTTGGGTCATTGTAAGTACTTGAGGGACACCTTGGGTCATTGTAAGTATTTGAGGGACACCTAGGGTAATTGTAAGTATTTGAGGGACACCTTAGGTCATTGTAAGTACTTGAGGGACACCTTGGGTCATTGTAAGTACTTGAGGGACACCTTGGGTCATTGTAAGTATTTGAGGGACACCTTGGGTCATTGTAAGTAACTTGAGGGACACCTGAGGGACAGGGTCATTGTAAGTACTTGAGGGACACCTTGGGTCACTGTAAGTACTTGAGGGACACCTTGAGGACACCTTGGGTCACTGTCAGTACTTGAGGGACACCTGGGTCACTGTAAGTACTTGAGGGACACCTTGGCCATTGTAGTACTTGAGGGACACCTTGGGTCACTGTAAGTACTTGAGGGACACCTTTGGCACAGGGCATTTGGGACCTAGAGTCATTAGGTAAGTATTTGAGGGACACCTAGAGTCATTGTAAGTACTTGAGGAACACCTTGGGTCACTGTAAGTACTTGAGGGACACCTTGGTCACTGTAGGTACTTTGAGGGCCACCTTGGGCCATTGTAAGTACTTGAGGAACACCTTGGGTCATTGTGGGTATTTGACACCTTGGGTCATTGTAAGTACTTGAGGGACACCTTTGGGTCATTGTAAGTATTTGAGGGACACCTTTTGGTCATTGTAAGTACTTGAGGGACACCTTGGGTCATTGTAAGTATTTGAGGGACACCTTGGGTCATTGTAGGTACTTGAGGGACACCTAGGGTCATTGTAAGTATTTGAGGGACACCTTGGGTCATTGTAAGTACTTGAGGGACACCTAGGGTCATTGTAAGTACTTGAGGGACACCTTGGGTCATTGTAAGTACTTGAGGGACACCTTGGGTCATTGTAAGTATTTGAGGGACACCTTGGGTCATTGTAAGTACTTGAGGGACACCTAGGGTCATTGTAAGTACTTGAGGGACACCTTGGGTCACTGTAAGTACTTGAGGGCCACCTTGGGCCATTGTAAGTACTTGAGGAACACCTTGGGTCATTGTAAGCAACTGGTTTAATTATGAACAACTATGCATCATCTGGAATAATGATGAGCACCTGGGGTTATTATGAACACTTATTAGACACCTGGGGTCATTATGAGTACTTATTAGTCACCTGAGGTCATCATGAGTACTTATTAGTCACCTGAGGTCATTATGAGTACTTCTTAGTCACCTGGGGTCATTAAGACCACTTATTAGTCACCTGAGGTCATTATGAGTACTTATTAGTCACCTGGGGTCATTATGAGTACTTATTAGTCACCTGAGGTCATTATGAGTACTTCTTAGTCACCTGGGGTCATTAAGACCACTTATTAGTCACCTGAGGTCATTATGAGTACTTATTAGTCACCTGGGGTCATTATGAACACTTATTATACACCTGTGGTCATTATGAGTACTTATTAGTCACCTGAGGTCATTATGAGTACTTCTTAGTTACCTGGGGTCATTATGAACACTTATTAGACACCTGGGGTCATTATGAGTACTTCTTAGTCACCTGGGGTCATTAAGAGTACTTATTAGTCACTTGGGGTCATTATGAGTACTTATTAGTCATCTGAGGTCATTATGAGTACTTCTTTGTCACCTGGGGTCATTATGAGTACTTCTTAGTTACCTGGGGTCATTATGAGTACTTCTTAGTTACCTGGGGTCATTATGAGTACTTCTTAGTTACCTGGGGTCATTATGAGTACTCTTAGTTACCTGGGGTCATTATGAGTACTTCTTAGTCACCTGGAGTCATTATGAGTACTTATTAGTCACCTGGGGTCATTATGAGTACTTATTAGTCACCTGGTGTCATTATGAATACTTCTTAGTTACCTGGGGTCATTATGAGTACTTCTTAGTCACCTGGGGTCATTATGAGTACTTATTAGTCACCTGGGGCCATTATGAGTACTTATTAGTCACCTGGGGTCATTATGAGTACAGTACTTATTAGTCACCTGGGGTCATTATGAGTACAGTACTTATTAGTCACCTGGGGTCATTATGAGTACAGTGCTGTACTTATTTTCAACAGTAAATTAAATGAACCACAACTACACCTAACCTTATGATGTTGTGTTTAGCTTGGATTACTTAATTTGCTGAACTGAACAGTACTTTGCATTTTTCCATTTCCCTGACACCAGATTTGCATTAAAATGAACATGTTAGGAAAGATCTCACAAAAAAACAAAAACATTATCAAAACTTGAATATCAGTTTCCATGGAGTCCATTAGATACTGTAACATCAGTGTATGTTTTCAAAAACCATAAACTGGAGGATAAATACCTTAGCAACAGCAATACCAGCATGAACTATGTTCTTATAATAAACTGTGTAGTGTCCATGAGCTTTCAGTTCTCCTTGCAGCTGCATGCGGGTCTTGAGCATATCCATGGGGTTGGACATCAAGCAAGCACCACAAGCTGCTGTAGCACCAATGACAAACTCCATCATGCAGTCTCATTAACTTAAGATCCTGTAAATAGTTGTAGACACTCAATTACAGTATTGTATATAACAGAAGAGTACATACTCTACTAACTAGCACAAATTTTTTGAAATTAAATATTTCGTACAGAATGATGAAACAATCTTAATTTGATTAGCTTAAGGTCTGGGCAAGGGCATTTTTTATGTAAGGCACCACAGCCAGTTAGGGATGCAATGAAGGCCATGGCCATCATGAAATTCCACACACAAATTTGTATGCCGGTAATGATGAGATGTTCAAAGTTCACAGCAAATTTTCCCACCAGAAAGTAGACAAGTCACACAAAGAAAGCCTTCAATTTTGCTAAATATGAAAAAGTAATTGTATTCACCTCTTCACAAAACACAAACTTATTTATTGGGAAAACTTAGGGTGCTGTACTGTGCTTTATCATGAAATTTCTTGACAATTTATTGAGGAACCATATTAAACAAAAACTTACATATACAAAACCTTGTAAGCTTATACTGTGCTGTAGAGGTATTAAAGTACAGTACAGGTATTGGAAAAAAATATTGAGATAATCATAAGATGATGCTGTTAAGGAATAATTTTTTTTTATTAATTGCATATATTAATTTGAATGAGATAAGAAAAATGGTTTTATAAGATATTACTTTCTATACAATAGCATCTCCACATAATATTGTGTAACACTTATCTTTAGGCTTGTGGCCAGTATGTAACTCCTTGCTAAGTGGAAAATTAAAATAAATTATCAATGAAATGTGTCTGATATTAACAGCAACAAAGTAAGGGAACAATCTGTTCCATATTACTATACAGTACAGCTACTGTACTACTAAAATCTGACTTAGCTCATTCATAATTTGTTTAAATTCACTGTAGCATGTGTGGGCAGCAGCACACTGACTACAAGACAATTGTCCTGTAAAATTAACCCATCTTGAACATACCCCCGACAAGGTTCAGTTGGAATAACCAAAATTTTGTGGCTACATCCACATTGGTCAAGGAATATAAATTTTTAACAATCAGCGATACAATTATGGTGAGCTTAAATTTATATACAGTATTTGAAAATGAAAAGTTCAAGACTATTTTCTGACAGAATTTTTTTTTCTGTAAGGTAGTACTGTACAACTAAAATAGAACTAATGTAGTTTTAAAGATAAGTATCTATGCCTAAGGAAATTTTCATAATGGGCATTGGACCTTGAATGCAAATACTGTACCCTGGACCTGTATTATCAAGATCTTCATTGCTATGTTCCCAGTGATTGGAAAATGGCTTATGCGAGTCCTATTTCCAAGAAAAGCAATTGTCACTCCACAAATAATTATAGACCAGTGAGTCTGACCAACATAGTATGTAAAGTAATTGAGAGCATTATAGGAGATGCCATGATATCTACTACGAAACAACCTTGTAAGGGATTGCCAACATGGTTTTATGCCGGGATGCTCCTGTTTAACACAATTACTCAAGGTATTACTAGATGTTTGAACTCATATTCCAAAACAGGGTGGCAATATTAACAATATATACCAAAATTTTGCAAGGTGTTCGACAGAGTACCTCATGAAAGGCAGCTCAAGATTTGTAAACTAATGTAGAGTATAGTACATATAAAAATGAAATTTTTATTAAATTAAATCATACACCTTTATTAAACATTAAGACTGTACCCCTTAAATGTGACATTGCCAAATACATGTACTGGTAGTTTCGTAGTAACAGTGTCCTGGTGAAGATTATCCCTGTCAGAATTTATTGCCAGGCTCGGCCCACATCTACATGTTGACTCTATCAAGGCGGTTCTTGAACTAGTTAACAAATGTTGTTTGAACAACATACTGATCCAGATTATTCCATTTGTCCACTGCTTGTTGACTGAAAGTGTGTCTTCTTTTTTGTTTGTTTTCTTTTTTGCTTTTGTAAAGTGTTATGTCCTCTCATGTTTCCTTGATATATTCGGTCTTGAAAAAATTAATGTCTACATTTTCGTAACCATTCAATATCTTGTAATTTTGCCAGTATTGTAGATGGGAGTGTGGCCCTGTCTAAGTGCATTTAAGATAGTGTTGTGGGTTAATTTTTTTCTTCTTACCATTCTACTGGATCTGGACTCGTTACAATAAACCGGTAATCTTGCATCAAATGGGCATAATATCCCAAGTGCATACCATTGTTTACATTTGTTGAGTCTGGGGGCTTCTCCAAGAACCAGATATTATAGCATTATTGACTATAATTTATCGTTCACAGTATTCATCAAACTAGCCTACCAAAATTTGTTTCACCTAAACATTATTACATGATTTCTAAATAATCTTCCTCCCCGGCAATTGAAGATCACATGTAACAGTAGGTCTGCAGTGATCCTACCATAACAACCTGTCAACATAAGATAACTGTAATAGGTTAGGTTAGGTTAGGTAGTTTGGTCCATTTGATCAATAATTAATTATATGGCACAGGAGAGGTACGACAGCCACATGCGAAACGTCGATGTTTATTGGTACGGCAGCCTAATGCACATGCATGGTGGGCTGACCATACAATGATAATTACCAAGATGACTTTCTTTCAGACTAACCTAACCAAACCAAACCTAACTTAACCAATTATGGGTGCTGGACAACTCGTACCCAAGCAAATCGTGCTCATCAGAACATGTCAACTCGTACACAATTTACGAGACAGTGAATTACACTAAAGCATTTGGGAACTTCGTGTTTTCTTTTTCCTTGTGGTTATCAGCATATATATATATATATATATATATATATATATATATATATATATATATATATATATATATATATATATATATATATATATATATATATATATATATATATATATATATATATATATATATATATATATATATATATATATATATATATATATATCCACAATGGAAATGTGGACAAGGTTGATTTTAATATATGAATAGCAATGTGTTTTATTTGACTTTACCTTTAAAAAATTAAGAGTAAATACGTCTGCTCTCTCTCTCTCTAAATAGGAAGAGCGTGAATATTGGGCGACACATAATCAAGTCGTTACGTTACTCATACGGGCCTTGTTTCTGTGTGGTCGTGACTTTTTAAACAAATCTATCTATCCAGAGGAATCATTAACATACAATAACAAAACTAATTGTACAGTGTATGCGTTGGCCAATATTCTCACTCTTCTTTCTTTTATATCCTTATTACTACTGCATTTCATTCTTGACGTTGACATGTCACAAGAAAAAATTCCTGACGATGTCACGATGTCAGCCACTTCGTAGAACAAGTTCGTTATACCGGAAGAAGTACCAGAGAGGAGCCCCGAATTATATACTGTATACTAACTGATATGTTTACATAAAGCTGGATCTGAAAAATCAATCTGCTTTTATGCATGTCTATATTTTGTTGACTTATGACCATTTTAAACGTTTACATCGCCCAGTTTATAAATTGAAACTGCCAATTCTATTTGCCTGAAGTCTGTAAATTACAATAAAGTTATTCTAAACCACATAGTGTGAAATATGTACCGGTACTTGTAGTGCAATGTTTGTGTGACAGAATAACATACTGTACTTATGTAATGAGAAGCAACCATTTTGAAGCCTGCATTACATTTCCCCATTTCACTGCACTTTCCTACAAGATTTACATAATTTTTTTTTGTAATCATAGCTAAAGCTAAAAAGCATGGTATATATACTAATAGGTATGGTTTATCTCTTGAATTGGGTGTAAGTAATCTTGGGTATGACTGATGTTGTGAGTTGGGTACGAGTTATCTTGGGTACGAGATGACCCTAACCCAACCTAATATACCCTATAACCTAACCTTACCATTAACAACGCAGTCCTTCAATACGGCTGCCATACCTATATGCAATGTGATTATTGGTGTACGGCTGTCGTACCTGTATCCATTACATAATTATATAATGTACTGTAGTAGCATCTGTTACCCAAAGGCATTCATGATTTTATACTCATTACCAAAAATTAAACATACAAAGATTCACAAAATAATGGTATAGTAGCTTTTGTCAATATCTTATTTTATTACTATATTTTAGACCTTGCTAGAGCTGTTTTAGAACTTGTTGAATCATCATGATCATTGAGTCTTCACCTGTAGGGTAGTGCTGTAGTACACTCTTTCCATCATCTATAATATAATCACGGACTAATGACACCTCTAAATGAAATATATAAAACATTTAACATATTCTCGACGTAATTTTATAGGAGGTCGGTATTACTAACTTACACCAGTGAAACAATACCTGGGGTACACCTGCCGCAGTGCAGTGTTGTGGTGATCAGCTGGTGGACCTCGGACTGTTGACGCCGAAAACTCCGTGTGGGAGAATAAATTATTATATATATAAGCATAATAATTTCAGGACATACTATCTATATATTATTTAATTTCAAGTTTATTTCGTTTCAAATGTGTACAGCACTAACAAGGTATCACCCATATTAAAACACAATACTATGGACATTTAATTTAGTTATCTTTTCCTTTTCATGTTTTTTCCTATAATTTTTACCACTTATCAGTTATCAGCTTGTTAGTCGTTCGAGTGATTGGTCTATTTTTTTTACTTAAGTGTCAACCTTCATTGCCCAGTGTTAGTATAGGATGAAACGAGTTATTATACTGAATAACACCCCTGGCACGGATACCCCCAGGACTCAATTCCCATTTTTTCTACCCCCATCACGAAATAAGTTATAAGTTATCATTATAAGTGATGGCATCATCGATAAATTATTTCTTAAATTTATACCAACGAAACCCTTGTTCATTGCATTGTATTCTACGGAGTTCCTTGGCAAGGGATAGCGGGTATTGTAAGTGTCATGCTTTTGCTTTACTTTTATCCGCTTCGCCACTGATCGGCTCGTTAGCCGCTTGGGCGGTAAGTCACGTCTCTGATACGCACTCTTGGCAGATACTGTGTAGTGGATTCCTCCCCTACAAGTACCGAACCTTCTCGAATTCCCCAGCCTACGCCTCCAGCGCCGACCACGGAGCCGGGGTCAACTATCTACCCACGCCTACCCCCGCCTTATAAGGCCTGACACCGCTGTGACCAGCCTCTTTCTACCCAGTGCCACCAGCAAGCAACACCTCCTCCGCGCCAGCCTGGCGGCTCCCGCTCCCGCCGGCGACCTAGGCGTTCCTCAAGCCGCGTGCCCTAACTCTGGGCACCCTTGTGGGGTACGGGTTGTTTGGGTTCACACTCAGGATGGGATGGAGAAAGGAAACTCACAATGTGCTCTCTGTATACTGTACATGTTGTATTGGATGTAGAATGCAGCTTGGTGCTGAGAAGGCAGCATGGTTACAAGCGTTGAGTAGAGAGAGCTGGTTGGTGAGGATGCTCAGAGGAGGACAGCTTGTGGGTCGCCATGCTCGCCGGCGGGAGCGAGGGCCACCATGCAGCGGCGGAGGAGGTGTGTTGTTGGCTGGTTGGTTTAGGTAGAAAGAAGAGAGTGGTCACCACGAGGTCAGGTCTTATATAGCGGAGGTAGGCGTGGCTTAATAGTTGACCTTCGTCATGTAAGGCGGCGCTGGTTGACCTTGACCACGAGTCATACACTGGGGAATTCGCGGGGTCGGCTACACAGCGACAAACAGCGTTTGTAGGGGAGAAATCCACTACACCCTCACCACCCAGCTCTCTCTACTCAACGCTTATTACCATGCTGCCTACCCAGCAACAAGCTGCATTGTACATCTAATACAACATGTATAAAGTGAGCACATTGTGAGTTTCCTTTCTCCATCTCATCCTGAGTGTGAACCAACATCTCATACCCCTCCAGTGTTGGTCAAGTCTGGCCATGAATGAGCTCACATTCGGTGCCGTCACAACGGTCTCCGGCAAATTGTTCCAAGAGTTTACAACTCTCACTCCGGAAAAAAAAAATTGCCCTCAGTTTTCTGGACTTGTGGCTTCTTCAACCTTGAGCTGTGACCCATTGTGGGGCAGGCGTCTGCCAGCTCCAGGTATGTGCATTCGACCGAGTAGTGCTTCCTGAGATGCGCACTTGATATTAGGATATATGCTGAAGTCAGTAGTAAATACTTTTTACTTTACAAAAATGCCTGAGTACAATACTGCATTAAAGAAAAAGTATTGGAATTTTTTGGTGAAAAGAGGGGTCCGGACCCCAGGATCCGCTCTTTGTCACTCACTTAACTTGGTTCAAAGAAAACGTTGTTAACCCCAAACAGGTAAATATATAACTTCAGTTTAATAGATGTAAAAACCTCGGCATTTGTTAAAATACAAATTTTTTTCAAAGCATTAGTATAGATATTGAAATCTGTCAAATTATTCTTTAAGCTTTGACGAAGGGCCCAATTGAATATATAACCATTTGTAATTATCCGAACGGATACAAGCCATGCCCCCAAACAACGAGCTTGCTGAGCCCTGAAGATCCTGTTATGCAAATGCCTGGATGAGCAAAAGGTCCCCAGTGATTGGAAAATGGCTTATGTGAGTTCTATCTTCAAGAAGGGTGATCGTCACTCCACGAATAACTATAGACCAGTGAGCCTAACCAGCATAGTATGTAAAGTACTTGAGAGCATTATAAGAGACGTCATGATGGAAAATCTAATACGAAACAACCTTGTAAAGGATTGTCAACACGGTTTTATGCCGGGGCGCTCCTCCTTAACACAATTACTCAAGGTACTGGATATTTGGCCCCAAATTCTGGAACAGGGTGGCAATATCGACAACATTTGCCTAGATTTCGCCAAGGCTTTCGACAGTGTACCCCATGAAAGGCTGAAAAATAAACTGGAAGGGTACGGGATTCGGAGAAATGTCCTAGCGTGGATCGGAGACTTTCTCCATGACCGCAAGCAGTGTGTGGTAATTAATGGCACGAAATCCTCATGTGTACCCGTGACAACTGGGGTACCACAGGGCAGTGTATTGGGTCCGTTGCTGTTTGTTTGCTTCATAAATGACATGCCTGAAGCTGTACATTCCTCCATACAAATGTTTGCGGATGACGCTAAGTTATTTCGGGAAATCAAGAACCAAGCAGACTGTGAAGAGCTGCAGAAGGATCTCGGTGAGCTCCAAGATTGGTCGAAGAAAGGGCTGCTAAGATTCAGTGTCACGAAGAGTAAGAGGATGCACCTTGGGCGTACCAACGGTAAGGAGGCGTATCATGTGTCCCAACGGGACGAAGAAACTGCATTAATTGAGACTGAATGTGGAAAAGGACCTAGGTGTGTACGTTGTCAATGAGTTGAAGTTCTCGGGCCATTGCGAGAAGAAGGCAAATTAGGCAACTAAGTTATTAGGTCTCATAAGAAGGTCGTTCAGATATCTAGACGGCCCGTCCCTCGTAACGATCTTCAAGGGTGAAGTGCTTCCCCGTCTGGTCCCCGAGATATGCTAGGGACTGTCAATTGATTGAAAATGCCCAAAGGAGGGCCACCAGATTGGTGCCTGCACTGCGGCACCTTAGCTACCCTGAGAGATTAGAGCGCCTGAAATTGTCAAGTTTATACTACAGACGAGCAAGGGACGACCTAACTGAGGTGTATAAGCATCTCAAAGGGCACTACTCAGTCGAGTACCCTTACCTGGAGCTGGCGGACGCTCGCCCCACAAAGGGTCACAGCTCAAGGTTGAAGAAGCCGCAAGCCCAGAAAACTGTGAGGGTTAACTTTTTCGGAGTGAGAGTTGTGAACTCTTGGAACAATCTACCAGAAAGTGTTGTGACGGTACCGATTGTAAGTTCTTTCAAGACAAGACTTGACCAACACTGGAGCGGGTTCATGTACATACATTCAGGAGCCGGTGCATGCCCAGTACTTGGCAACAGCGCGTAACAGAGACGTGACCGATCGCCCAAGCTGCTAACGAGCCGATCAGTGATGAAGAGGATAAAAGTAATAAACATACAAGCGTAAAACACAGCGCATGCCCAGTACTTGCCAAAAGTGCATAACAAAGACGTGACCGATCGCCCAAGCGGCTAACGAGCCGATCAATGGTAAAGAGGATAAAAGTAAAGCAAAAGTAATGCCAGGATAAATATTGAAGCTAACTATGCGATTTCTATAAATTAATGTAGACACCGCTAGGCCTCTCATTTTGTCATTTTCTGTTAGCGCCAAATAAAACCTCGTTTTCCTTGACTACGACAAACTAGTGAACGTTACTGACAGGAAACGTAGCTGACTAACTTAAGTTACGATACAATTACAAGGGCCAAACTAGCCTCGAATACACAGCACAACAAGACTTTCCTGGGAGGATACACAACGAATCACCTTTAGATTAGGCAGCCCATTTATTTAATATAGGAGAATTTGGGATGGGTAAACGAGTACAGTACTTAAAGACCGAGTATTTCAGTAACGATTGCTCTTTAGAACCGAGAATACCGAGTACTAATTGATTACTTTTTATCCGACTTATTTGTGCCATAATTTATTTGCTTCGCAGGTTGAGTGCATCATAGACCCACATTTTGATGTATATTTTGAAATTTTTATTAGTACAGTCTCATGTTCGCAAAACAGTTTTAAAATAGATGCGAATTCCTTTTGTTGTAGCTCTGAAGTAAGCTACTGAATACTTTATACGATTTTAAAATCATGAAGTAAATGGTAAAGGTGAAGTTCACAGTAACAGCTGATAGTTAGCCTTTGTGAGCTTCAATTCTTTGGTTTAGAGCTCACAAGATAATTATTTGGTTCAACAGTGATGAAATATATTAAATTCTTTGTGAGTAATCAATGGCCTATCAGTATTTATTTTGGAAAACCATACATCCTGCTTAGACTATTTGTTCAGGATATAACAGGTTTACCAAAGTTACAATAAGTTCAATAACTTGCTGTCATAATAGAATAAGTGCTCCTCTTGGTATAATGGGACCCTTTAAAGGATAAAAACTGCACAGGGAAATGGTTTTCCAAATTATGATTGCTTTATAGTGGAAAAACAAAACAAAAAGTCATTAGGTTCATAAACAAAGTGAAAAGTAATCAAATTAAAGAAGCGAGTAACAGAGTACTACTCGAACCGAAAGTAAAGACATGACTGGAGTCATTCATGTGGTTTCAAGTCGACCAGCCCTGATATAGCTGCTACCGCACATGTAAAAAATTTTCAAGAGACTTCACAGAAAAGAATATATTATTAGTTATTACAGAGAGATGATTCTTTGCATTATTAATCAGATAAACCTCTACTCAAATAATGGTTCTGTCCAAGAATGCATGTATAGGCTTCTTTAAGTCCAAGGTCAGATAGATTCAGAATAAGTATTAACTCAACTATAAACAAAATTGAAGTTTTGCATCCAATAGTAAAACAAATAATGAATTTTTTTT